ATAGAAATCAGGCCAGGTGCAGTGGCTCATGTATGTAATCCCACCACTTTGGGAGGCCAAAGCAGGCAGATTGCTGGAGCTGAAGAGTTCAAGATCAGCCTGGGCAACATGGCAAAACCCCATCTCTACCAAAAAAAAAAAAAAAAAATTAGCCAGACATGGTGGCATGCACCTGCAGTGCCATCTTCTTGGGGAGCTGACGTGGGAGGAGCACTTGAACCCAAGAGGCTGAGGCTGCAATGAGATGTGATTGCCCTATTGCACTCCAACCTGGATGACAGAGCAAAAACTCTGTCTCAAATTAAAAAAAAAAAAGCACACATATCTAAAGGCAGATAAGCATATGTTGGCACTCTGCTTAATGAACATCTCAATCTTATGCAAAACTTTACTAGAAAAATAACACTTTTTAATTTGTTTCGTTTTGTTTTGAGATGGAGTCTCGCTCTGTAGGGCAGGGGCCACTCCAGGCTGCAGTAGGGCAGGGGCCACTCCAGGCTGCAGTAGGGCAGTCTCAAGATATAAGCTCACTGCAACCCCCAACTACTGGGTGCAAGCAATTCTCCTGCCTCAACCTCCCCAGTAACTGGGATTACAGGCACCCACCACCACGCCAAGCTAATTTGTTTTATTTTTGGTAGAGATGGGGTTTCACCATGTTCGCCAGGCTGGTTTCGAACTCTTGACCTCAGGTGATCCGCCCACCTTGGCCTCCCAAAGTGCTGGAATTACAGGTGTGAGCCACAACATGGCCTTTTGCTTTGTTTTTAGACAGTCTCACTCTGTTGCCAGGCTAGACTGCAGTGGCATTATCACAACTCACTGCAGCTTCCATCTTCTGGGCTCAAGCAATCCTCCCACCTCAGCCTCCCAGGAACAAGCATGCACCATCATGCCCCACTAATATTTTCATTTTTCATGTCTCATTAATATTCTCATTATGTTGCCTAGGCTGGCCTCAAATTCCTAGGTTCAAGTGATTCCCTGCCTCAGCACCCCAGTGTGCTGGTATAATAGACATAAACCACCACACCTAGCCCCTGCTAATTAAATAAAAATTTTTTGTAGAGATAGGGTCATACTGTGCTGCCCAGGCTGCTCTTGAACTCCTGGCCTCAAGCAATCCTCCCACCTCAGCTTCCCAAAGTACTGGGATTACAGGTGTGAGCCACTTAGCCCAGGCCAGAAATAACACTTTTTTGAAGGGATTCGTTCACATATGATCCTCATCCAAACAGCAGCCCTCAACTAACATGTACCAAAAATGTTCCTAATTTCTAAAAGATTAAATTTGAATGAGTACCATTAATTGTTATAAGTAATAGAAATTACTGATAATGAAACAAAATGAAAAATTAAGTGGCCGGGCGCGGTGGCTCACGCCTGTAATCCCAGCACTTTGGGAGGCCGAGGCGGGTGGATCACGAGGTCAAGAGATCGAGACCATCCTGGTCAACATGGTGAAACCCCATCTCTACTAAAACTACAAAAAATTAGCTGGGCATGGTGGTGCGTGCCTGTAATCCCAGCTACTAAGGAGGCTGAGGCAGGAGAATTGCCTGAACCCAGGAGGCGGAGGTTGCGGTGAGCCGAGATCGCGCCATTGCACTCCAGCCTGGGTAACATGAGTGAAACTCCGTCTCAAAAAAAAAAAAAAAAGAAAAAGAAAAATTAAGTGATTTTAATATACAAATAAGCCAAATGCAAAACACAGATTTCCAGGTGAAAGACATGAAAGACAGATTAATCTCAACTCTAATTTCAATGCCAACAGCTGACCCCTGGATAACTTCCGGATTTACTACATATTCATGTCTACTAAGAACCGGCAAATTCTTAATATAAACCATACTCTTATGATTAGGTATGAGCATCCAGTCTTTCTAGTATCCTGTCACTAATGATCTGCTTTCTTATTGTTAAAATGGCATCATAACATGGGACCAAATGTCATGTATATACCTTGTTACACAGAAAGCTTATTTTATATCAACATCCATTCAATAATGTGCCATATCCACACTTTCCCCAAAATCAACATTATAAAAAATACAGTAATTCTTTCTATTCAGTGCACTCATATTTTTGATCCTGTACACTGCTGTATTTCTTTAAAACCTCTCAGAGTTTAAATTCGTTTGCAATACTATCCTTTAGTTTGGAAGCAATGTTTTGTTACCATCAAAATAATCTTAAAAGCCTTAAATCCAGCTGATTCTCAGAAATTCTTCCACCTTTAAAACATGAGAATTATAACCAAATTAACAAATCAGATATCAGAATGCCAAAAATTAAGTCACTAAAAGAGAATCCAGTGAAAGAGCCAGTTGTGAAAGAACAGGAAGTGATGTACACTGCCATTTTGTAGATGAACTATTTAGAAACATAAGAAGTGCCATACTAATCTGGAATCAACTCAGACTATTAGCTCTCAGCATTTTCTTTCTGCAGCATCAGAGGTGATCTGAAATAACCCTCAGGCAATTTTTCCTTAATAATGTATTTATCTAATTGAACATGAACATACTTTTCCACTTTCAGGCAACATTTCTACCAGCTATGAAAGAGGTTTTTTTTGTTTTTTTTTTTCCAATTGTCTTAAAGAGTACTCCTTAGTAATAGCATGATGAAACAAAGCAAGTAAATAGTTAACCTACACCCTATGTAAATCCTTTAAGTTTAAGTTTCGTAGCCTTTACTGATAAATCTGCTCTGCCTACAACTTACCAAGGTAAAAGCAGTCACTCTACTGAGCAGTACACTTGGATCAACACATGCTGGTATATATTAATCAATTATCAACAAGCCATAATGATGGAGAATTAGATTTCCTGGCTTAATTTGCCATAAAGGAGAAAACTCTACATATCAACAACATGCAGCTTTGTCCCATGAAATAAATACTCAAATGAATAGTTATTTCAGTTCAATGAATTGACATGACCATTAAAAGGGAATAAAGCAAAGAGAATTCCATCTTCTGAGAAAAAAACGTAATAAAATGTATTTAATGTACCATGTCTCCTACATCAAAATCATGATATAAAATGACAGAAACTAAGTAAGTACCTAGCACTGCTACTAACATCTTTATATCCCTATCATAAAACAGGTTTCAGAATGCAACAAACACATCAAGAAAGCCCTACTGGACAACATTTAATGACAACATAAAATGTACATGGTATTTGGAGGTATTTAAAAATAAGTAACTAAGTAGAGCTTAAAACACTAAATACACAAAAGACAACTCATTATCTGTACATATTTTAATCTTCTTCCTCACTTTGTGAAAAAAAATTATTTAATTCTATTAATAGTCATATGTGGAACATTTTGAAATCACGTCACCAGTATTCACTAAACACTTAAAAAGAAAAAAAAATGTATCATCAGTACATGGAGATTTGAAAACTACTCTTTGGTCACAAAAAGCACTTGGCAGCACATTTCCAGAATGTTTAAATTTTTATTTATTTCTAGTCAACTAAGGACAAAACCAACAAGTAGTACTGTAAACCAAATAACATTGTTTTCAGACAAATACGATAGGAAGCAAAAGAAGTGAAAAAAAAAAATGACTGACTACAGAAAATAGATTACAGAATAATTAGGCAGATTAATAAAAACAAAGCATCAGCTACCCAAAGGTTTGTAACCGAACCATTTTCAGAAAATTCCAATTTCAATATTATACAAAATAGTATTAACCCTAAAAATTCACAGCTTAGGGAGAAATGTTCATCAGACAGCCTGTCGGTATGTAACAATCGTTAATAATTTTTTTTTTGGGACGGAGTCTCACTCTGTCGCCCAGGCTGGAATGCAATGGCACGATCTTGGCTCACTGCAACCTTCAACTCCCAGATTCAAGCAATTCTCCTGCCTCAGCCTCCCGAGTAGCTGGGACTACAGGCGAGTGCCACCACGCCCGGCTAATTTTTTGTATTTTTAGTAGAGACGGGGTTTCACCGAGTTAGCCAGGACGGTCTCGATCTCCTGACCTCGTGATCCACCCACCTCAGCCTCCCAAAGTGCTGGGATTACAGGCGTGAGCCACTGTGCCCGGCCAGTAATTCTTGATGAACTATAAAAGTCATAGACAAAAAGAAGGGAAATGAGGATGAGGAGGTACAAAATTATTTTATTTGAATTCTAACGAAAATCCAACCTGCTCACAAAAAAATGTCAATCCAGATATCTCTCAAAAAGACATCAAAACTGTTCTAACATGAGCGGGGTCCCTCTCGAAAGGCCATGTCCCCCAACAATAACACCAGGAATAGATACAGATACACTTCCCATGGACAGATCTCAGGGAAAGAGTATTAAAATGGTACTGTCATGAATTTAAAACCAAAGGAAAAAGAGTAATCTTTTCAAGGGAAGCGCCATTACTTCCCTCTCCTGCTCCCCCTCCCTTCTGTGTATACATGGGTCTGTGTATGAAGAAACTGCCTTGGACTTCTGCAGCATTGCAGTAGACTAGAGGATGAGGAAGGGGGAAGGGTAGGGGGAGAGAAACGCTTCCATCACCCCTACAGAAGAGGGGTATAGATTTCCTGTGCTGGGGGGAGGAATCCACCCAGCAAGCCACCCAGAGCAGTCTCCCTTCCCAAGAATCCATACACACTACAAAGGAGAAGGAGGAGAAGGAGCAGGAGGAGCATAAGGACCAGAAGGGAAAGGGACCTCGTGCCTTTAAACCGGGGTGCACATCAACCCAGTCTCCCAGTGAGGGCCACACCTTCCTCGAAACATCCCCTTCCACCACCTCTTCCGGTGACCCTCAGGAAAAAGGAATGAAATTGCTCTCGCCCCTTAAAACGGGAGGGCGCCCAGCTCACCAGCCTCTTCACCCCACCCACAGAATCACAGACCCTCCTTGTCTCCCTCCCCCACCCCACCCCCACATCCCTTCTTCCACACACAGGCCCCAGTGGGCCGAATTTCCCCGCCCCCCTCCATATCTCCCTTTCCCAAAGCAGAGGTGCCCTTACCCGTTCGCCGACAGGTCCCGGGCGGAGCAGGCAGGCGCAGCCCCCTGCAGCGCTCCGGTAGCTGCTACCCTGGAGGGCGAGGAGTGAGGAGGAGGAGGGGGCCCGGCGACAGACAGCCGCCCCCCCCCCGGAGCCCCAACGAGCCGCCAAGCCCAAGCTCTGCAACAAGGGGCGGGGGGGGGGGGCGAGGGAACGACCGGGGTCGAGGAAGCGCCCTCAGCTCTTGGGCTCAGTTAAGATGGCGCGGGGAAGTGCCGGGAGCCGTCGCCGCCGCCGCCGCCTCGGGGGAACCGGCCCGGGCCTCGGCCGCCTCTTGTCCTCACACAGCCGAGGCCCTCTCGGTCCCCCGCCGCGGCCCCTCGGCGGGCGGGCCCACGCGCAGCCCTCCGCCACCACCACCACCCCTGGGAAGGGGGCGCTCACAAAGGGAAGAGAGGCCGCGGGCCGGCCGGCGGACGGCGGGGCGGGGTCCCCCGGGGCCGGGAGGCCTCAGATGTTCGCGAGTGCCTAGTGCTCTCGGCCCGCGAAGGGCGCAGGGCGAGCGGGACCCCTCCTCTCTCCTCAGGCAGGCGGCGGCACCGACTCACTCTCTTTGCCACCCTCCCTCTCTCTGCCCGAGCCCTGAAGCCACAGAGCCCGGCCGCTGCCCAGGTTTCCCCCCCCTTCCCCGACACCACTCCCCTCCTCCCGACCGTCATCACTCGTCTCCGATCTCGCGAGATTTCCTGCCTGACAGGCCCGACCCTGCGCGAGACACGACTACATGCGCGCGCGCCCTCTCAGGAGCGCGCAACGCTTGCTACGGGCGGAGTCGTCTGGGTGGCCGGGAGTCCCAGCCTCTGTCCAGCAGGGCCTCGCTGAGTTCGCGGAGCTTCTAATTGCCACGCGGGCGTCAGGTGCATTCATTTCACCCCGGAGATCTGAAGAAGAGCTTATCTGCACTCCTTTTCCGTCCCTCTTCCCACCCCCAAAGCATCCGCCCGCTACTGATAAGTTTGCCCCGTAGTGTGGAATATCCCATTCCTACACAACTTGGTTCGCCACGCCCTCCCGCGTGGAATTCAGAGGTACACTGGGCAGCGTAATCAATATGTAGTTGAGTTTTTGAGATTCTAATAGTTTATGGTAATTTTTGGAATGACAGTAAGACTTGGAAATACAGATCTAAGCCACTCTGTACATTCATTGGTGATGGTAGAAGAGATAAAACTTCTTGAAAAGTGACTGTGGGTTTAGCAGGTTAAGTAATGGGAAGTTTTGGAACAAGAGCAGCAAACAAACGGAAGAGTTCTATGCAGAGAAGAAGTAGAGTTTATATTCTTTCATCTCAAAAATTTTTCTTTTTTTTTTTTTAGGAAACATCCCTTCAGTACTTATTCACGAAACTAAAAGTGTAGCCAAAGTGCGGTCATAAAAAAAAATCGTGGTTCTGGCCGGGCACAGTGGCTCACGTCTTTAATCCCAGCACTTTGGGAGGCCAAGGTGGCGGATCACGAGGTCAGGAGTTCGAGACCAGCCCAACCAACATGGTGAAACCCCATCTCTACTAAAAATAGAAAAAAAATTAGCCGGGCGTGATGGTACATGCCTGTAATCCCAGCTACTCGGGAAGCTGAGGCAGGAGAATCGCTTGAACTCGGGAGGTGGAGGTTGCTGTGAGCCAAGATCGCGCCATTGCACTCTAGCCTGGGCAACAGAGCGAGACTCTGTCTCAAAAAAAAAAAAAAAAAAAAAAGGAAAAAAAGAAAGAAATAGTAGAACTGAGCTGAGGCACAGAGAATTTTGATTAACTTGTCAAAGTTCTTTTTTTTGAGATGGAGTTTTGCTCTTGTTGCCCAGGCTGGAGTGCAATGGCATGATCTTGGCTTACCACACAACCTCTGCCTCCTGGGTTCAAGCAATTCTCCTGCCTCAGCCTCCTCAGTAGCTGGGATTACAGGGATGCGCCACCACACCTGGCTAATTTTTTGCATTTTTGGTAGAGATGAGGTTTCTCCATGTTGGTCAGGTTGGTCTCGAACTCCCTACCTTAAATGATCCGCCCACCTCAGCCTCCCAAAGTGCTGGGATTACAGACATGAGCCACCATCCCTGGCAAGTCGTCAAAGTTCTTATAGCCAGTTTGTAGTAAAGCCAGTTGTCAAATTCAGCTTTTACCCTGAGCCACTATAATTCTTGTTTTTGTTTTTGTTTTAAGATGGAGTCTCACTCTGTCACCCAGGCTGGAGTGAAATGTCGTGATCTCGGCTCATTGCAACCTGAGGCGGCTCCCAGGTTTAAGTAATTCTCAGAGCTACTACATTCTATTACCTTTAGAGAATATAAGAACTGAAATTGCTGTTGCCTTTTGCTTTGAAGCCCCAGAACAAAGGCAATTCGGTGGAAAACACATTCTCAAGATAAAACCAGATCACTGAAGCTCTGGAACTAACTGTCTGAAGTCAATCCTAATCCTGGGCTTTTCAGCATGTGTGTACCAAAACATTCCCGTGTTTCTTAAGCTATATTGGGTCTGGTTCTCTGTTGTTTGCAACCAAATAGTTCTCACACAGAACTGTTTGTTAGCCTTTCCCACCAGGCTATGATCTCCACAAGCATATGAATGTTTGTCTTATTTATATTTATGTCCACAAACTTAGCATAATGTATATAATGACATTCAACAAATGTTTGCTATCAGTTCAGTAATACTGCAAACATTTGCTGCTATGTGTCAGAAATTGGGTTAGGTGTGGGAGATAAAAAGAAAAGTGAGTGAATGAAAGCTGTTTGCCTGGAGTGTATGGAAGAACAGCTACTGCAAAGGTTAGTGTGATCGAGAACTCTAGGAAAAGATATACACACATGCTAGAGTTCTCTGAAAGTTGCTGTCACTTTGGCCCTATGTGCCTGGCCGATGGGAATTTCTGGATTCTTACACATGTTAGATGTTTTCAGTATTGTCTAAGGTTATCTTTTTTTTTTTTGAGACAGAGTCTCACTCTGTCACCAGGCTGGTATATGGTGGTGAGATCTCGGCTCACTGCAACCTCCACCTCCCGGGTTCAAGTGATTCTCTTGCCTCAGCTTCCTGAGTAGCTGGGATTACAGGCACGCACCACCACGCCCAGCTAATTTTTGCATTTTTTAGTAGAGGTGGGGTTTCATCATGTTGGCCAGGATGGTCTTGATCTCTTGACCTCGTGATCCGCCCACCTCCCAAAGTGCTGGGATTACCGGCGTGAGCCACTGCACCCGGCCAGGATTGTCTAAGGTTCTAAGAGTGTCTGGAAGTCACCTGCTTCCCAAAGTGATGTACATGCTAGAGTTATACCTGGTCCTGTCATGTAAACGATGTGTTTTCTGCTATGCTTCTCTGTGTCTCTTGACTCCCAAAAGTATATACTATAAAATGAGTATGCTCTACTCATGTCTCAGACTGATAGTGAAGATCAAAAGTGGCATGGATATGAAAGTTCTATTGTATCCAGGTGATAGCTGCTTTCTTTCACCTGACTACAAGTACTAATATATTCTACTCTAGCTAGCATCCTCACGAAAACCAAAACTGTACCCTCAGTACAGTTCTATTCCACTGGTAGTGAACATCCGTGGTTCTTGTCTGTCCAGAATTTCTCCCTCATCTGGCAAAAGTTCCCTGTGGCTAGGTGTGGTGGTTCACGCTTGTAATCCCAAGACTTTGGGAAGCCAAGGTGGGTGGATTGCTTGAGCTCAGGAGTTTGACACCAGCGTGGTCAACATGTGGAAAATCTGCCTCTACAAAAATTACAAAAATTAGCAGGGTGTGCTGGTGTGCATCCCAGCTGCTAGGAGGCTGAGATGGAAGGATCATTGAGTCTGGGAGGTGGAGGCTGCAGTGAACCCTGTTTATGCCACTGCACTCAAGCCTGATTGACAAAGTGAGATCCTGTCTCAAAAAAAAAAAAAAAAAAACAGTACTCTATAGTTCTTAGAGAAGTTTCCTCTCCATTGTTCTGCGGAGCTCTTGTGGGGCTGTCACTCTGGGCCTCTTGCTACAGGTGGGCACCATCACAGCATGGGCAACCAAAATATCTCACCCCTTGGTGAAGCAACTAGGGTAGGGAAGGGCACATGACACAGCCCAAGCTGGACCATGCAGAGATGTTTATTTGGATTTTATACACTGCTATGTGAGAGAGAGAAGCTTTGCTTTGCCTATGGGGTCATAAACTGGGATGATGTAAATCTAGACATTCTACAGAAGTTCCTCCCACACAGACCCCATCTCCCTCATCCAGGATCCCTCTGTTGCATAAAATAAACTACCAAGATCCAAGCTTTCCTCAATATAATCTATGCGAAGCCTGCTTAAATTGCTTATAAAGCGTGTCTGTGGTTCATAAGCTCCTCCAAGTTCTGATCTGCTCATCCTCACAAAGTCTCAAATGCCTTCAAATTCTACATTTCAATATTCTAACATTTTTGTGTGGAGTAAATTTATGAAGAGGAGAAGTAAAGGACAAGTTTCATGATAACCATTTACATAGTGCCATTTGATAACCAGGCCAGACCTCTGTCCCCTCTTCAGGGGTTTCTGGGCAGTGGGTAGGAGAGAGCAGGTTATGTAGGAAAGGTCACCACAGGCAAGTTTAAGTGGTTGTCTAAAACCTGAACTTTGAGACACTCACTGTCGCTAATAAGTGTAATACAACATATCAGTAAAGGAAGCATTTGATTTTTTTGTTTGTTTGTTTGTTTGTTTTTTGTTTTTTGTTTTTTTTGAGAAGGAGTTTTGCTCTTGTTACCCAGGCTGGAGTGCAATGGCACCATCTCGGCTCACCGCAACCTCCGCCTCCTGGGTTCAAGCAATTCTCCTGCCTCAGCCTCCCGAGTAGCTGGGACTACAGGCGTGCGCCACCATGCCCAGCTAATTTTTGTATTTTTAGTAGAGACGGGGTTTCACCATGTTGACCAGGATGGTCTCGATCTCTTGACCTCGTGATCCACCCGCCTCCTCCTCCCAAAGTGCTGGGATTACAGGCGTGAGCCACCGTGCCCGGCTATTTTTTTTTTTTTTTTTGAGACAGAGTCTCACTTTATTGCCCAAACTGGAGTGCAGTGGCATGATCTCGGCTCACCACAAGCTTTGCCTCCTGGGTTCAAGCAAT